AGAGGAAACTGACGCATGGCATGCTTAGATTTCCTATTTGTGCACACACATAAACATACATGGGTAAACAATATAGTCTCTTATTGCAGAGGTGATAACAAGCTCATGTGAGAACAGAAATAAAAAGAAGAAAATGGAAGTCATTTCTAATCCCATTCAAAAAAGGTGGCATTAACTTTTTGATATATATTATTATAGTCTTATTTTTATGTATATCTATTTAAAATGTTAACAAAAATATAAATAGTACATTTTAAACTGTGTTTCATAATTATCCTGCATTTTAAATGCAAAACTGTTGTTGTCTAGGGACTCAAAATCAAGTTATTTGGTGATAAGTTTGTATTTCTTTCAATTGTTATGCTAAGAAAATAACAACCAAACATGAGCATTTGTTAGAAGAAGAACTCTGACCAAATCAGGGCCAGTCTCCATCCAAATTTCCTGCCATGACCCAGGTCTGACATTCTGCTTTGCTGAGCTACATTGGCCTCCCTGCACATGAATCTAAAAAGATTGAAATTTCATTCCACTTTCCAAAAGCATAGAGTTCTAGTAAAATACACAGCAAAAAGTTCTGGCTAACAAAGATGCACATTTCCTACAAAAAGATAAGAATGTTAGTTCTTTGGTTTCAGAAGATGCTCAAATGCCATTTTGGTACAGTGTCAACCAACAGCTCTAAATGAAAGTTAAAACTAAGAGTTGCCAAGAGTAGTAGGTCCCAGGGACAATAGTGTACCTCCATACGTCATCCGGTTACATACTTTTTATCTCATGTAATCCTCACAAGAACCTTGCACAGGAGGTATAAGGTGAGGATACTGAGGCACAGTAGTGTTAATACCTCACTCAAGGACAGATAACTACACAGTCTCAGTATTTTTATTCTAAACTAATGTAAATCTAATTCATTTCCTTCCACCCTTCCACTACTTCAAATACTACAGGAGCAATTAGAACAAATTGCTAAATTATTGTCATTTAATAGGGTAACTATTTAACAAATTAGATCTCTTCCTCATAGAACTCTTTAAAATATATCTCATTATTTGAAGGTAGGAAAAAATCTGACTACATAAAAAGTTTTAAGGTACATAGTCAAAAATATCATAATATTTTAATTAAAAGACAAACTACAAAGACAAAAGTTAATATTCTTAAAAGATAAGAGTTCTTAAAATTGTTAGGAGCAAAAAAAATCCCCAAAAGAAAATGAGTACAGGATACAAGCTGGCAATCGACAAAAGAAGAAATACAATATGGGAAAAATAGAAATTAAAAATTAAATCCTATTTTTAACTAATAAACTGGTACAATTTTTTCTGTTATTTTTTTTAATGATGCAACTGTCACAAACTTTTTGGAAAGGTGTTTGCTAATATGTATCAAAAGGTTACCTAGCAATTTCCCTTCAAAGCATCAATTCTAAGCAAAGATCTAGTATATTTGCAAAGATGTATGTAGAAAGATCACTACATTATTTACAGAAAGATTTATGAAATAGAATTTCAATAATGGACACATGATCAAATGAACTATTATACCTCTCATTACTATTAAAATTTGTGTTTTCATTTTCTTCTTTACAGTCTTTATATAAAATCCTTATTTTTCTTCAATGAACATGCATTATTATTTTAATCAGGAAACAACATGATTCTAGAGATATCCTTAGGTACATCCATGATCTATTCTCAGGTCTGTGCTAGACTCTGTGAAGTGATTTATGTGAGAAATGACACTAATGTTAAGTGAGCTATGTTTACTTTCTCTGAAAAACTCATTGTGCTGCATGCCTTGCATACTTGATCTCATTCAAGCCTTACAACAATCCTGCCAGGCAGACACTGTTTGTGGTCAGCACATCAGTTTCAGTGAAAGCTGATGCAAGATATTAAAAATAAGAGAGTATGATTGTCTCCCAAGAGTTAAAGTTAAATATAATAAATCAGAAAGGAGATACGAAAAATTCTGTAGAAGCAACTGGCTCCTGGGCCCATAAGACCAGGTATCATGACCTAGCTGAAAGGATGAACAGCCCTGGTAGGTCACTGAAGGCTAACGTACCAGATCACAGAGCAAGGAAGGGCCACATCCATCCAAGAACCTTCGTCAAGCAACTTCCAGAGTCCCCAGTCCTGTTGGCTGCAAGAGCTTCCCGAACTTCTGTTAGTGGAGGAAACTAACCACAGACTGCGGAGGAGCCAGGTGTGACCAAGAACATTTTTCTGGCGATAGCCATCTTGGGACATCTCACACTGTACCATTCAACACTGGGGTCTTCCAACTCTCCTTGTTCTGAAGCCTGAGGAACATCAGATTTTAACCTTACATGAAAGTTTACTGACAGGAGGAAAATGACTACGTTTTCAGACACCAGCATTCTGATCCCAGTAGTCCATTTGTCAGTGTGAATGAATCCATAGTCATTCTGGTTTGTAGAGCTGATTTTTGCCATTCACAGGAGTCTTGTTCTATAAAATCTCCTCAAATACTGAATTAACCAATACTGAACTGGTGCTCCTAGAGGAAACACAGGGTTAGGTTCCTGTGAGTCTCTGGTCACTTTTCACCAATGGATCAATATATAACCTTGTTTTCTGCACATTTCTGCTTAAAGACACCTTAGTTAATGTATTATTGTTGATTCATTAATATTGAAATCACAACCAACAGCCTATAATTCATGCCAGAACAAAGCTTATCTAACTCATATTTCCTCTGTAAGGCACATCATGGCCTTCTTGCTCTTAGGAACACAGAGCTTCAGCACTACACGTGGGGGTTGTTCTAAACAGCAAAATCACCAACAAAAAGCAGAAGAATTAAAGAACATGGCACCATATGGGCCATGAAAAGGACACTTGTTTACAGTCTGAGAGCTCAAGCAAGAAGGCAGAGCCTTGTTTGACCTCAGCTGGGAATGTGTGTATCAAGGGACTCAAATTTTTTGCTGCTCTGTTCTTGTCTCATACACAAATACTAACTGGCTTTCAGAATAAGAAGTGGCTGAATTCTGATCAGCTCTTCTGCTCAGTTGCAATATCTTTGGGGCAGATCTCATCCTAACATGGCATTTTGACCATATATAAATGGGTTTAAGTGGTGGTTTTATTCCTAGGCTGATCCACACCAGTATATTCATAGACACTGAGAAGTGACTACTGCTTACCAAAGGGGAGGGGAGTGGACAGGGGTGAGGAGGAGTGGGGGGTACTGTTGAACCACTGTGATGTACATTTGATAATTTAAAAAAATCATAATAGGGGTCTTGGTTCTACAGCCCAACTCTACTATGCCTGAATAGACTGTGATTAATGATGTGGAGCATCTTTTCATGTGCCTGTTGGCCATTTTTATTCCTTCTTTGGATAAGTGTCTGCTCAGGTCCTCTGCCCATTTTTTGATTGGGTTATTTGTTTTTTGGGTGTTAAGGTGTATGACATCTTTATATATTTTGTGTGTTAGCCTCTGCCCCTTATCAGATGAGTAGCTTACAAATATATTCTCCCATACTGTAGAATGCATTTTTGTTCTGCTGATGTTGTCCTTTGCTGTACAGAAGCTTTTTAGTTTGATGTAGTCTTACTTGTTCATTTTTGCTTTTGTTTCCCTTGCCTGAGGAGATGTGCTCAGGAAAAAATTTCTCATGCTTACATTCAAGAGATTACTGCCTGTTTCTTCGAAGAGCTTTATGGTTTCATGCCTTACATTCAGGTCTTTGATCTACTTCAAGTTTACTTTTGTGCTTAAAGTTAGACAATAATCCAGTTTCATTTTCTTGCATATAGCTGTCCAGTTTTGCCAACACCAGTTGTCAAAGAGGTTGTCTTTTCCCCATTGTATATTCATGGCTCCTTTATTATATATTAATTGACCATAGATATGTGGGTTTGCATCTGGGCTCTCTATTCTGTTCCATTGATCGATGGGTCTGTTCTTGTGCCAGTACTTTGATTACTGTAGCTTTGTAGTAGAGCTTGAATAGGGAGCACAATCCCCCCAGCTTTGTTCTTCTTTCTCAGGATTGCTTTGGCTATTTTGGGTTGTTTTGTTATTCCGTATGAATTTTAGAACTTTTTGTTCTAGATTATTGAAGAATGTTTTTGGTATTTTGATAGGGATTGCATTCACTCTGTAAATTTCTTTGGGAAGGATGGCCATTTTGACAATATTAATTCTTCCTATCCATGAGCATGGTATAGATTTCATTTTTTTTTTGGTGTCTTCTTTAATTTCTCTCATGAGTGTCTTATAATTTTCAAAGTATAGGATTTCATCTCATTGGTTAGGCTTATTCCTAGGTATTTTATTTTTTGATGCAATTGTAAATAGAGTTGTTTCCTGATTTGTCTTTCTGCTAGTTCATTGTTAGTATATAGAAATGCAATAGATTTCCATGCATTAATTTTGTATCCTGCAACTTTGCTGAATTCAGTTATTAGTTCTAGTAGTTTTTTGGTGAATTCTTTAGGGTTTTCTATGTATAATATCATGTCATCTGTGCTACTATGATTTTTCTTCTTGGCAGATAGGACTTGAGGGAGCTGAGAAGGAAAAGACAGGTTCCTCTCTCAGTCTTGCTACAGAGTGACTCATACTTAATGACAGCTTAAGCTATCAGAATACAAAGGAATTGTTATCATCATGTAAATTTAATAGTGGATTTTGGTTGAGAGACAATAGAAGGTAGTGATCACACACATATACTCATACATACACATGGAGGAGTGGGGAATTTGATCACATGATTACCTGTTATCTGAGCTTGAGCCAGTGTAAGACAAACAGTAAGTTCTAAGTGTTAGTTACTAATATGGTCAATTTGGAAGGGGTAGGTGAAAAATGATGAAAGAGCCTTAACAGTAAGACTCAGCCAAATTACAGAGTCAGGCCCTTTAGAAAAACTCATCTTCACTTAAGATGAAGTTACTAGGCTATTAGATGTATTTTGTTATATATTTCATGAAGAATATTTTCATATCTTACTTTTGCAGTAGTATTCCATACTTCTGCTTACCTACATTTGGATTCAAGCACATTTTGCCATTGACAAATGATGCAGAAAAATTCAATGAAATTGTGAAGAATCAGAAAATTTCTGCTAATATTGACACACCAGAAGGTGGATTTGATGCAATTATGCAAGCTGCTGTGTGTAAGGTATGTTGAGAGGAGTAGTGTTTCACTCTATTAACACAAATTTCATCTCTTATTAACATACTAAAATCTTAGTCAACTTTATCTTTTGTTTAATCACCATATTTCTATATTCAATATGTTAAAGAAACCTGTTGTAATATTTTTAATTTAATCCTGTTGAAACAGGGACTGTTTTTTATACCTGATATTTAAATGATCTAATAAAATTATAGTCATGCTGGGAAACATTGGTTAAAACAATAATTATGATTAGTTTTAGAGGGTCAAGAGCAGATCATAGGTGTACCTTGTTTTATTGTATTTTATTGTGCTTTGCAGATATTGAAGTTTTTTTACAAATTGAAGGTTTGTGTCAATCCTAGTTCAAGCAAGTCTCTTGGTGACATTTTCCCAACCACATTTACTCACTTCATGACTGTGTCACATCTTGATAATTTGCAAAATATTTCAAACTTTTTCATTATTATTATGTTTGTTATGGCAATCTGTGATCAGTGATCCAATGATCCAATTTGATTTTACTATTCTAATGTTTTGGGGGCACCACAAACCTCTCCCACATAAGAAATCAAACTTAATAAATGTATGTGTTCTGACTGCCCCACTGGCCAGCCATTCCCCATCTCTCTCCCTCTTCTTGGGCCTCTCTATTCCTTGAGATGCAACAGTATTGAAATTAGGCTAGTTAATAACCCCACAAAGGCCTCTAAGTGTTCAAATGGAAGGGAGAGTTACATGTCTCTCACTTCAAATCAAAAGCAAGAAATTATTAATCCTAGTGAGGAAGGTATGTTGAAAGCTGAGATATTTTGCTGAATGCCAGGCCCCTTACACCAAACAGTCAGTCAAGTTGTGAATGCAAAAGTAGAGTTCTTGAAGGAAATTAACAGCATTACTCCATTGACCATCTGAATGGTCAGAAAGTGAAACAGCCTTATTGTTGATATGGAGAAAATTTTAGCAGTCTGGAAAGAAGATCAAGCCAACTACAATATTCCCTTAAGCCAAGTCTACTCCAGAATAAGGCCCTAGTATCTCCAACTATATGAAGTCTGAGAGAGGTGAGGAAACTGCAGAAGAAAAGTTTGAAGCTAGCAGAAATTGGCTCATGAGATTTAAGGAAAGACGCTGTCTGTATAACATGAAAGTGTAGGAGAAGCAGCAAGTGCTGATGTAGAAGCTACAGCAGGTTATGCAGAAGATCTAGGTCAGGTCATTAATGAAGGTGGCTGCACTAAATGACAGATTTTCAATGTAGACAAAACAGCCTTCTATTGGAAGAAGATACCATCCAGGCCTGTAATAGTTAGAAAAAAGTCAATGCCTGGTTGCAAAGGACAGACTTACTCTCCTTTTAGAAGCCAATGCAGCTGGTGACTTTAAGTTGAAGCCAATGCACACTGACCATTCCAAAAATCTTAAGGCCCATAAGAATTATGTGAAATCTACTCTGCTGTGTTCTATAAATGGAACAACAAAGCCTGAATGATGGTATGTCAGTTTACAACATGGTTTACTGAATATTTCAAGCCCACTCTGGAGACCTACTGCTCAGAAAAAGATTCCTTTCAAAAGGTTACAGCTCATTGACAATGCACCTGGTCACCCAAGAGCTCTGGTGGAGATGAACAGCGAGAATAATGTTGTCGTCATGCCTACTAACACAGTGTCCAATCTGCAGCCCTTGAATCAAAGAGTAAGTTTGGCCTTCAAGTTTTATTATTGAAGAAGAACATTTCATAAGGTTATAGCTGCCATAGACAGTGATTCTTCTGATGGATCTGGGCAAAGTCAGTTGAAACCCTTCTAGAAAAGAGCCACCATTCTAGATGCTGTTAAGGATTTGTGATTCATGGGAAGAGGTCAAATATCAACATTAACAAGAGTTTGGAAAAATTTTATTCCAGTCCTCATGGATGACTTGGAGGGCTTCAAAACTAAAGTGGAGGAAGTAACTTCCAGTGGTGAGAAGAGCATGAGAACTACAATTACAAGTAGAGCCTGAAGATGTGACTGAATTGCTGCAATCTTATGATAAAAGTTGAAGGAAGGAGGAGTTGCGTGTTATGGATGAGCAAAAAACATGGTACTTGAGATGGAATCTCCTGGTGAAAATACTGTGGAGATTGTTGAAATGGCAATAAAGGATTTAAATATTACATAAACTTAGTTGATAAAGTGGTGGTAGGGTTTGAGAGGATTGACTCCAATTTTGAAAAAAGTTCTATTGTGGATACAATATTATCAAAGAGCATCTCATGCTACAGAGAAGTCATTCGTGAAAGTAAAAGTCAATCAATGTGGCAGATTCACTGCCTTGTTTTCAGAAATTGCCACAGCCGCCTCAGCCTTCCACAACTATCACCCTGGTTAGCTGGTAGCCATCGACATCCAAGCAAGGTCTGCCACCAGAAAAACGATTATGACCTGCTGAAAGCTCAGATAATGGTCAGCATTTTTTAGCAATAAAATAATTTTTAATATATAGACAGAATACTATTTTTAGAATACTATTGCACATTTAATAAACTATAGTATAGGGTAAACATAACTTTTCTATGCACTGAGAAACCAAAAACTCATTTGACTCACTTTATTGTGATACTTAATTTATTACAGTGGTCTGGAACCCAAACCACAATCTTTCTGAGGTGTTCCTATGATTTGTTTTTGAATTAACCACAGTGAACAAAATCAAAAGCAGAAATTACTGAAAAAGTAGAAATGCTATGACTCAGTATAATCCACTACCTATGATTAGATATCTATTGTTTTGAACAAACCAAGTAGGCATCAGGAGGCACAGGGTCTCTACAACAGTGTGGGGACACGGCTCCTCTTTGATAATCAGACTCGTACCCATGGAAATGATTCCTATATTCAGATGACAGCTCTTCATGGAAAATATCACAAACAGATGGGGCTGAAGTTTCTAGAAGGGGGGCGGGCCAAGAAACTCAGTAAGGTAGGAGCGTTTTCCTTTCCTTAAGGTGGGATGATGCAGCCAGGGTGAACTTTTGCCCAGCTAGCCCCTGGACGAATGTTATGTAAAGAGGAGAGCTCTGCTAGGACAGTCAGCAGACCATCCTTAATTGGCCAGATCTTGGGGTCTTACTTTGATAAGCAATTCTTATCCTTGCATTACATTTATCATTTCCAGATGATACCTGTAGAAAGAAAAATAAGTGCCTGAATGTTGGGTGCCATTTTAACAAAACAGGCTTACTTTGAGTCCATTTTGTATTGCATTCTTATTAGTTTTGCTGCAGCTTAGATTTGAGATCATCTATGAGCTCCCTTTTCTCCCTCACCACATTTTTCTGGTAAGTTGAAAGTGGGGTAGTAAAAATAACTAACTATGTAAAAGCAAGATCAACTGGAAACTGGTTGTAATGGAACTGTTTTTCCTGAAGCATAAATCACCTGACAGAGTTATCCTGGAAAAAGCAAATGCCACAGAATTTCATGTTTTTAAATACATGAAATGACCAACGCACAGTAGATGAAAAAGGCTGAAACAGATAGACTAGTAATGTATTTCTTAATGATCTGAATGTGTCCAATCATAACTTACCCACTCTAATAAATGCCTGCTTCTACCCCATACAATCCTAGTGCTTCTCTTCCACTGTAGGAAAAGATTGGCTGGCGGAACCACTCCCTCCATCTCCTGGTCTTTGTGAGCGATGCGGACTCTCATTTTGGAATGGACAGCAAACTGGCAGGCATTGTCATTCCTAACGATGGGCTCTGTCACTTGGACAACAGGAATGAATATTCCATGTCAACTATCTTGGTGGGTACCCGGCACTCTGTCATGTTGCCAGGGCTACAAGGACGCAAATAAAGCAATGATCACTGGCATACACGGACGAAAAACCCACACTTGGTGAAAACAGTGCACCTTTTCTGATCTGAGATTAACAGATGGTCCTCTCTCAGTCCCCAGAAACTCCCCAATTTTTCAAAGAACCCAAGGTGGGCAAACCATAGTACAGTCAGCTTGTTTGTTCTCAGTCACAGCTACAGAAAAGGGGGCTCAGGGAAAAACAGTAGTTACGTGGGAGTTGCTGGGATTGATGTCCCAGAGCCACGCCCCTCACAATGTCATAGCTTCATGCGCTGGGGGCTCCATGGGAAACAATTCGTCAGGTACTGCTTAGCTGGTGCTTTTTTATTTTTTTTCATTTAAAAAATGCTGGTGACATTTTTGGTGACAAAGGAAAAACAGAAATACTTGACTTTCACAAAATAAGGAAAAATTTTCAGAGCTCTTTTGACGGACATGATCTTGTTTGATCCTCTGTGTATCTCACCGCTTCCCTTGTACAGACCGTAAGGCTGCTGTGCTTGTGCACATGTTATTTCCTCTGTCTAGAATGCTCTTCCTTCCCCGAGGCTGCTGAGAAACTTTCAATTATCCCTTCAATCCCTGCCCCATGATGACTGTTCCCAGACAGCCCTCTTTCGACTCTGCTGGGCCCCGAAGCGGTCACCCCTCCGGCTCACACTCACCCAGAGGGGTTGCCTCTCCCGTCACTGTACGGTGGTGCGTTTGCGCCTGTCTGTCTGTCTGTCTGTCTGTCTGTAATGGGTGCTCCTCTTTGTCTGTCATCCACATTTGCCTTCACACAACAGGCAAATGTGATGCATGTTTTCAGCCCTGGAAAGTAAGGACATCTTCAAATTTAATAAGTAATGACTTCTTTAATTTTAAAGTATTCCTGTCACTTGGAAATGACCATGTCAATGGATCAGAAATACAATGTGTTTTCAATTGTTCTGCGAAGAACCTGCAGGACCCCATAAAACCATTTAGTAGCATCAAAAAGGCAGTACAACTGAACCCAAGAACCATCCAGGACAGCCTCAAATTGGAGGGACATAGGAATGGTTGTGGGACAGTCACCAGCAGGCTGTCCCTTCCCCAGCTCTCATCCTGTCTTGTTCAATTCCACAAAGAGTGGTAGATCTACAAGAGTCCCTCTAGTCACATCCATCACAGTCTAACTACTCCACCCTCGACTCCAGCATTCCCCTAACCTGAGCCTGCTGGCAAGTGGCACTTGGAAGAAATGTGTCTCTTCCCTTGAAAATATGACACTCTATTACAAGTCCTTAAATAAATTTCAAGTCATCTCCTTAGGACTGACAGAGCATCATACCCCACATTGACAGGCACTGACTCTTAGGAGTTAATTGGATCTGCAAGATTTGGGAAACAATTTTTAAACCAATTAAGTGACTAATGCTAACTGTGCATTTGGGAAACAATTTTTAAACCAATTAAGTGACTAATACTAACTGTGCATTTGGGAAACAATTTTTAAACCAATTAAGTGACTAATACTAACTGTGCATTTGCTTACTTAGAGCAATAGACAAAAATGCCTATAAACATTGAAATGCCAAATTCAGTAAGACTTTGAAAGGAATATTCCTTTCTTTATGTACTTTTCAAATGATACTTAAAATTTATGTGTTAATTTTAGGAATATCCAACAATTGGACAACTCATTGATAAGCTGGTGCAAAACAACGTATTATTGATCTTTGCTGTGACCCAAGAACAAGTTCATTTATATGAGGTAAGCAGGTGCAATGTGGGAAACTCCTTTGGGGTGATTACTTGACATGACTCTGTACCATTAACTCCGTGAGTTTAATGCATGGATGCTATTAGAAAACCACTAGCACATGCCAAATATACTGGACACTTGGCAAAGTGGATTGTTTTCAATTTGAATTATAAACACAGAGGTGCAGTTGGGAGTCGTGGACAAATATGGTGAGACAAGGCAGAGAGTTGTAGAAACGTGAAGGTAAGTTGGAATCAAGTGCCGATAAACATAGGACCACTTACCTAATGGAAAATTAGTCTTTCTTCCCTTGGACTATTTCATCTGATGAGCAGGGAGTTAATAGAGAAAATTAGGAGAATGGAAGAAAAACTGACTTTAAATTATCTGACACTTCCAAATTAAAGACATAGAAAAAAATAGGAGAGACACAACTCAAGCGATTGAGAAGTGGTAAGTTGAAGGGAAAAACTTGTCAAATTGGGCCAAAAATTAATTTCTCCCTTAAAGTAGCTGGGTTTGCCGTGCAAGTTGTTGGATGGAAGTACCTACAGTAAAAAGGGAACTAACTGTCCCACTCAGTGGAATGATGTTTGTAAATGCCCGCAGGAACTGTGAAAGGCATGCGCAGAGGCAGAGGATTTCTGTGGTTTCTTTCCAGCCTAAGAAAACAATATATCAAAATGCCATGATTTGGAGTACTAGCAAATGATCTATTCCTAATCAGTAGTTTCACAGAGAAGTCAGGAGTTTCTAGCCTGGGCCCTAGAAAATATAGAGAAAAGAGACATACATTAAGTTGCCTGTGTCTTCTTTACAGAAGTTTTAAATACTCCTAAATTCAGAGTCTGATCTCCCATTCCTTTTGAAAGGACATCTTAACTCTTTTGGTGACTTACAGGGCTCACGAACTCTGCGATTATTTCACAGAAGGCTTTGATTAAATGCCACTCACTGCTAAGCAAGGTGCAGCCCGTGAACTTGCACTGCATTCTGTAGAAAGGATCCAGGAGGCGATCCTATCATGCATTTTTAAAGAGAGGAGGGTATTGTGCTCCAGGTGAGATTGCCTTCTGCTGAAAACCAAGGAAGTTAAGTCCCTTGCATTCAAACTGCATACTTGAGGCCTTTGTTTGACTCAAGAGACCACGTAGGTTCACCTGATCTGGGCATTTTCTTAAGGCTCTTTAGTATGGGATACTTGTTTCCAGTGGTTTTAAGTAGTAGAGTTGCAGTAAAGATTTTTTTTTTTTTAAATACCACCAGTACAATAGTGAATCTATTCTGCCTTTGGTCCTTAAGGCTAAAGTAAGAGGACCCCTGCGGTCACATCACCTCCTCCATAGCAGGGCTCCTGTTAGCAGGGGGATGGGGGAGCCACAGAACTTCTCTGACAAGGTGTCTGGGAAACACAGTTGATGCTCATGAACGTAGACTCCCATAACTCAGTTCTCTAATAGTCTGCAAGACTCACAGCTCATTTATACGGCTCCTCAAAACTGCTGTTATAAAGACAGAAGAAGATGAAACATAACTACGTGGCAAAACAGAACCTGTCGGACTGAAGCTTGTTGCATCCACGGTTCCCCTGTTGCAAAGGAAATGATAATTTCCAAGGAAAACACGAGATTAGAGCCTGCCTCTAATGCAACAGCAGGACATTTTGCCTGCCTACTAATCTCATTATGAGGCGAATTCATGTTCTGTCATGGTCTGTGGTCTTTACCATCCAGACTTCGCCAAATTCAAAGAGACATTATCAGGGAGCCACGCAGCGGATCAGGTCTGCAGCCCCACTCTATGACTCTGATCCATTCGTGATTTTATTTTTATTCTGATGGACTCATCATTCCATCTTCATTAGTGGAGGCAGGAGGCAGTCTGGTCTAAAAATAATGAAAGCAACAATGCACTTCCCTGAAGGCTTCACACAGCATGAAAATGCTGATCTCTTGTTTTATTGACGATGAAAACTGAAAATAGAGCAATAATGGCTTGTGTTGCCTTTCCATTTAAATCTCTTAGAAGTTGCGCTGTGTGTGCACAAGCCCGATGCAGACTGATGTTTGGGTAGCTGTGGTAGGAGGAACTTACTACCAAAGAGTCACTGAAAAATAAAACCAGCGAGAGGATAAATAAAGCAACTAAGTGGTTGGATCTAATGGAAATTCCAGAAGGCTAAATGCTTGCCCCAGCGCTGCGTTAGGCATAGTTACGTGAGCACACTCCAGCCAGGAACGGGTCAGGTTCAGGGGCAGCCCATCTTGTAGCAAATAAGATTTATGCTGCCCATGCGTGGGATGCAGGAAAAAATGACTGTTTTTCAGGAATTTTCATAGGATCTTTGGACAGCACAGGTGTGTAGTGTTGCTGCACTTTGTGGCAACAGAGATGAAGAGTGGAAAGGATAAAGTAAACGATTTTGCCTCCAGTTTACTGTGACTGTAGTGTGCACCTCAGGCTCCAGCAAACACATCATTTTGAACAAACTTATTATTATGAATAATTTCCTGTTTGTCCAGTTACAGGGTTCAAAAGATAATGATAGATAATAGACTGAGCATTAGGTAGTATACTACATTCTAGTGCTAAACACCATTTTGAGGCAGGATTCAATTACCCAGCTTAAAAAAATTTTTTTATCTCCTCTGTTGTTGTCAAATGTTTACCATTAATTTACATTAAGATAGTATCAGACTACTAACCCCCAACTGTCTAATTTGCTAGTCTTTTCTTCCTAGTGAGATACTGAGATAAAAGCAATTAAATCAGTGTTCTGAACTATGTTGTCAAATCATATTATTAATCATGTGGGATTTTTTTACAAGACTTTAAAATATCCTATGACTTTCAAAATATCTACATCTGACTAGAAAAGATGAGTTTTGTGACGTTCATAACAATAATTATTATATGACCAGGTGTTTATGATGTAGTGTAGTCCAACAGCAGTTAGAAAGTAGACAAGATATATTGGTAACAGACACTTCCAGTTTAGTCACTACATCTATGCCCACTAATTAATGTCCCTGTGGTTGTTAGGATAGAGTGGTGTGTCTAAAGCACGGGGATAGGGGCCCAAGCAGGTCCTCAGATTATCAGAGCAAAGTTATCAGAAGTATTTTCCAGACTAATTGATAAATCACAACCATGGAAAGTCATCAGTAGTTACCCCTTAGATTACACATAGTACTTTTCTTTTAAAGAACTCAAATACTCATAATACGGAAAATAAACATATAGAAAAAAAAAGATACACATTTAAAGTAGAGTATTAAGGAGATGGCCTATTAAGCCAACCCATGAAGAAATATAAAATGGGATTTCATCAACACAAGCCCTAAATATTTCAAGATTTACACAATAACCAGAATGTCTAGGAGATCACTTGGACCAAGATGCCATTGATTACAGTCATTCATTCATTCATCAAACATTTCATGATCATGTCCTATAAGCCAGGCCAGCGTTTGTGACCATGAAGGAGAGTAAGACACAATGCTTGACTCAAGAAGTGTCATAGAGCCTTAAGAGACTTGTAGAGCAATATTTTGTCTAAAGAACAGTATGAGGATATTTTAGAGGTTGTGTTCCAGAAAGAGCATTGAAGACAGAATTTTGCTGAAGGGCCAGAGTTTTCCTATCTGTCAATGTTTTTACTCTTTTCTCTTAACCATCTTTCTTAGGAGGGGCAGCAAATTAATTGGCAATCATAAAACTCCCTTGGCTGCTAACAGTATCATAGTGTCGGACTAAGCCCTTCACTATATATCTGTGGAAACCGAGGAACAGAGATGATATGCAACCATGACTATGAGAATCATAGGGATGGTTTGTTGAGGGCTTCTTAGGTGGCAGTGAGGGGTCATTTTAACTCAGTTTATCATTTAATCTCCGTGTTATGGCTATAGAACCCAAATAACAAAGCCAGCTGCATGTGAGAAAAGATTTTGGATTCTGCCTTGTGGGTTATTTAAGCTCTGAGTGGGAAGTGCAGGTCCCACAGCCTGTTGGAGCATTATGCCGTTGGCCAACACATCAAAACAGCTCCAACCTGGGGGAAAAGGTGACACAGTCTAACAAAGGCTACACATTTCTTATCATGATATAGTCCAAGCATATTGAAAAAATAGAGTAATATAAGAAACACCAACATACCTACTGCCCAGTTTTCTCAAATCTTAACAATATGCCACCAAATCTGTTTCAGATATTTTTAAAGAAATAGAACCTTCCAGATGTAGTTGCCTGCTATGTAACTGCTCAGTCCTGACCCCACCTCCCCTCTTCCCTTCCACAGAAATAATCAGTATCCTGAACTAACTGTTTATCATGATTCCATGTTTACTTTTTATCACATTAAAAAAACATATATCCATAAATAACTACATCGTTTGAGCTAGGTTTAATTTCATATTGTACATAGTATGTCTACAATTTCCTTTTTTATCCAATGTTATGTTTCAGGGTCTTTTTTTTTTTAAGATAAAATACATATAACCTAAAATTTACCATTTAAGCCATGTTTAAGCATATGGTTTTGTGGCATTGAGCACATTCACGCTGTTGTTCTCAATGTTACTTTTGAGGCTTATCCTTGGAGATACATAAACTCCAGCTTACCGTGTTCCACTGCTATGCATATTCCATTAAGTGTATATACTGCAGTGTGTTCATTCGGCAACCGAGGGCATCGGAGTGCTTCCAACTGGGCAGCATCACAAATGCTGCCTCCATGCAAATCTTTGCACACGTTTTCTACTGAGGATCCATGTCTAGAAGGGGAGTCCCCGGGCCCCAAGGGGATAGCATCTTCAACTCTCCTGAGTGCATCCAAGTTGCTTGCCAAAGTGCTTATATCAGCCAAAGTGCTTCTACCAACAATGAGCGTGTGGTCAAAAAATAAAAACCACCACACACTTTTTCTGATGATAAAATTTATACATGTTATTTGCAAGGGAAGAAAAACAAGGGGATACAGAAGAGCACAAAGAAAATCAAGATCACTC